TTTTCTCTGCGGGTCTGCATTTTGGTTTTGGCTCCTCCTGACTAGTGGTTCTCTTCTATGACTATATCTCTGGATTATATAGCTATGGGCCCTTCTTGCTCCTTCAAGCTTTCTGCTATTTCCCATCATGGGCTGCTTTATCACCCCTTGTAGATTTCCTGTAACTCCACTAACAGCTTAATATAGTCTCTTCACTTAATCATCTCCTTTGGGATTGTTAGCTGGACTTTGACTACTCAACTAACCCATTCACTTACTAGCTTTGGAACACTGGTCAAATGATTTAATCTCCTAATATCAGCTTTTATCTCAGCTTTTTCATCTATAATGTGGGAATGAAAATATTCCTTTCCCAGAAAATACATGACACATGTACATAACATTTAATAGTAACATCATCATTATTAGTAACTATTATCACATAAAGATGAAAAAAAAATGTGATTTCCTCAGTGACTTTTCAAATCAGAGTGTGGAATTGTCCAGAAGCATAAGATTACAGAGAAGCAGCTAAGGAAATACAAAGTGAAAAGACAGCAAGGTGTTAGGAAGATTTGTTAGTACGTATGGAATAGAATAATTTTTATATTTTAATATGAGAAGGAAGCTGTAGCTTTAGAGATCTATTGACTTCTTGCTAGGATCATGTTAGGATCTCTATACCTAAATGGAGGTGTACACCTTTTCAGAAAGGCACAGGCTTTCAGGAGAGAAGTTATAATAGTGATATGAACCACAAGACAAATATTTGAAGGGAAATGCATTGAGCTTTGAGTCAAGTCTTAAAAAAGGTAAACATATGAAAAGAAATCATGGGTGGGAGAGCTCTTTTAGTTAGCTTCATGCTCCCTTCCCTTCAGGACACACATGTCTGCCTGAATGGAGGAGTCGGAGTGGATTTTAATAAAAACTCCCCATCTGTATTTGGGATCCCTCTCCCCCAGAGTCCCTCGGGCTCTGTCACCATTGGATTCATCATGCAAAACCTCTCTTCTTTTCAAATACATTATCTCCAGGAGACCTTCCAAGTTGTCCTGCCATTTACTTTCCTCTGGGTGCCCCTACCTGACCAGTTCCTCAACATGCCACATATCTCTGAGTTCTTTTCTCAGGAGGATCCTCAACTCCCATATAATTCAAAAGGATAAAGCTAGAAACCAGAGAGTGTTAAAGCCACGTCAATCTTAGATTCCATCCAGCTTTGGGCAAATTCTTCTTTGTTCTACAGCTACTTCTGCCAGCAGGTAGTTGAAGTGATGCAACTCTTCCCTGCACTTAATTATGATCAACGGGAGAGAAAACTGAGGGAAAGGACATGTGTTAGCCAGGGGTGGGAGTAGGGAGAGAATCAGAGAAAAGAATAGCTACTTTGAAGGTCTAAAGTGGTAGATGTCTCATGAGGGTTGAGAAGGTCACACGGTTGGACATGTTGCCTGTGAATCTGTATACAATCCTGAGGAAGAAGCAAATGTGGTACCTAAATAAACCAGATCGTACGCCTTGACAGGATGCTCTATGGGAGCTCAGATCTTAAAAGGACATGACCAGAGACCTAAGAATGAATACAAACAATGATAAGCAAAAGCTCCGAATAAACCATGACTTCTGGAGAATTTTCAGGGCTTCATCAAAAGACATGAAATTCTGTTTGGAGCAAGTCTGAGAGTAAAAAATGACAAAAATAAAAGCTTTGATTAAATTCTTTCAAAGTCATTCAAAAACTCTGGCCTTCCATTTGGTCTGTCAAAGAGAATGGCCTCCTGAATGGAAAGAAGGGAACAAACAGAACAAAAGAATTATATATCTTTTATCTGTCTCTCTCTTTCTCCCCCCCCCCTCTCTCTATCTATCCATCCATTCATCCTCTATCTCATGGTAATTCAAACTAGTAAAGAGACTACATGTGAGCACAAAGCTTCATGCCTTCTGACCCAGAAACATTATATCTCAGGGCACTATAAGACCTTGTGATTGGGGTTACTGCAACATTTTTGATTACCTTGAAGGAACTGTAAAAATGGAGGACATGGGAGAAAAGTGGATTAGCTAGGCATAGTCATGATTTTCTAAAAGAACAAAAGCGGATTATGTAGAGGGATTGTGAACTTAAATGTTCATGGAGTCATCATATTAGTCATCTCAGTGGTTTTACTACAATGTTGAATAATAATGGATTTTTAGATATTGGTTGATAAACACCCAACATCTATTATCATACAATCTGCTGGCAAGCCACAGCTTCTTGAATCTTAGATTGAAAAAAATATTTAGGTAATCAAAGAATGATATTAAATTTATTATTGATAAAAATTTAGGATGCTATTTTATAATTTTTGGTCCAATGTGTTGATAATGCCTTTCAGCTTGGTGTCCACTCTTGAGGTAGACCTTTGGGAGACCTCTTGGTGCAGTTGAATTCAGAGACCTGAGCCCAGATGGAAAATCACAATGGTCAGAAGTAGATCCAACTTGGCAAGTTCAGAGTGGCTACCCAGGAGGAATGAAAAGTCAAGGTCAAAGAAGTCATGTCCATCAACATGATAGACAAAAGCAGAGTCCAAAGCAGAGACAGAGACAGAGATGAGGGAGTAAGTGAGTGTGGCAGCAGACTGGAAGAGAGGTCAATGTGAGAACAAGGCAAGAGAGTCTGAGTTTTGTCTCTGATGGGGTTAAGAGGGCCAAGAACTGGCTCTTTCTGGTTACCTCCTGCTGGAGCCTGGGATGGACTAACAGGATAAAAGGCTAGGCTGGTAGATAGGGAAAAGGGCAAACACGTAACTATACTATTAGGACCTGGGACCCAGGTAGCGTTTGGTGGCCTGCGTTATCATCAAGTTCACTTTTTTAAAAAGTGTGGTAAAAACATATAACATAAAATTTACCACCTTAGCCATCTTTAAGTGTACGGTTCCATAGCACAATGTATCTTCACACTGTCATGCAGCAAACCTCCAGAACATTTTCATCTTACAAAAGTGAAATTCTACACCCACTGCACAACGACTCTCCAAGTGCCCCTTCAATTTTACTGTTTAAAACAAAAATTTATTAAAGCAGCCAAACAGAAACACTAGAAGATATTTAGGAAAATGAACTTCAAAAAGCAAAACAATTAAGAAAAGTAGATGCAATTTGGTGTATTTTTTTGTTGCTTGCTAATTAGTATTCTTTCTCTACTTCTATCTTTGAAGAGAAAAAAAAAATTCCTTCTTCCATTTGCCCACTATAGATTGAAAGTTTCAAGGGCTAGGACTTGAATTTTTGGCTCTTGGTAGAAGAATCCTAGCTAGTGTCCTTCAAGGCTGTGACTGACATGTGGCAGAAACTTAAGAGGACCGTCTCTTCTCTGCTAGCATGCCCTAAGGGTTTCTTTTCAAATAACCAGTTTCTATTATTGCCTTCCTTCTTGCAACTAAAGAAATCCCCTAGGGTTTTAGCATTCCTTCTCCCCAGAGTTCTCTATTTTCTTATTTCCATTCAGCGTAACCAAAGCCCAAAGAGGAGATTACTACCACATGTATACTACATTTTGTATCATGAAACCCAGTCATTTTCTTTGCTCTGATGAGAAAGGACTTTTCAGTACCAAGAATTACCTGCAATTCTTAAGTTTATTTATTAGACCATTCTCCATATATTCAACTCTCCTACAAATTGTCGTGGTTGTTTTTTAAATGTAGATTGGCATAATAAAGGTGCCCAGAGTAGTTAATCTGTGCACAATTCAACTATTTTTTGAATAGAAATATCTTTATTCTTCTTGAAGATACATGGTGATTGTTTAAAAAAAAACACATAAAAATGAATGCCTTCCTGCAATTGTACCCTAAGAGATAATCCCTCGTATATTAATGTACTAAAAAGGAAAACAGCAAACATTTAAACAGAATTCATCAAGGACTTTTATACTACAAGTCAACAGAATGCATCCTTAAAATATCAATCATCTGATATAGATGAGAAACTAATGCTGGAGTTGTGGGGCTAAGGGCCAAGATTCCAGGAGATGGACTTAATGCTAGACATGGACTTAATGCTGTGTCCATCAGTTACCAGTGATGTACCCTCGGGCAAGTTACTTCATTTCTTTAATCTTCAGTTTCCTCAACTTCAATGTAGAGGTAGTAATGACCTTCAAGGTAGGAATAATTACTCAAACTCTTGTAGGATGATACAGCACAGAATACACCCAAAGTTCTATTATGCCTGGGATACAACAGATACTCAATAATGAGAGTATCATAATTATAACCACATTGCTTTTTGAATTTGCTTAATTGTGGTAAAATATGCATACAATTTATCATCTTAATTGTTTTTAGGAGTCTAGTTCAGTGGTATTAAGAACATTCACATGGTTAATGCAACTGTCTTAAGTTCAGTCAGTTGCTGTAACAAAGTGCCCTAGAGTGAGTAATTTCTAAATAATAGAAATTATTCTTCACAGTTCTGAAGGCTGGGAAGTCCAAGGGCACGGCACCAGCAGATTCCATGTCTGGCAAGGGCTCCCTTGCTCTCTACTTCATAAAGGATGCCTCTTCCTGTGTCCTTGGAGTGGAAGGCTGGGATGTGGAATGGGTAAATAGCTCCCCCACAGCCCTTTTTTAAGGTTGCAATCCCATTCATAAGGGCTTTGCTCACACAATTTAATCATCTCCTAAAGTCCCCTTAATACCAACACATTAACAGTTAAGTTTCTATCTGTGAATCTGGGGGGAGTCATTCCAACATAGAAGCAACCAGGACCACCATCCGTTCACCATATTAATTATTAACATGGCTTCTATGCACTGTCCTAGAATAAAATATGATTTGCCTCTCTCCAGTGTGAGCTTTTGTCAGAATAGAGTCCTTCCTAATCTCCCCCAAATCTTTTGAAATCTGTTCCCATCTATATGTGGCCAGGTTTGGAAAAACCCTTAGTGTGAAGTGTTCAAGACATCAGGCTGATTCTAACGTTATCTAATGTTCAAAGCTGTAGAGGCTGGTGCTAAACAGACCTGCACGGCTACTCCAGGGTAAAATTAATTCTCGAACACCGGCGCTGACACTTTGCAATGTCTTCCCCAGCAGCCCAGGCTCTGCTAATGGAGGTTTATAAAGGCCTTTGCGATTCCTATGGTAACCCAGGAGAAAGGCTGTTGCCATGGGGACTAGCCAAGCCTATATAAACCTGCCATCTCCATCAGACAGATGAGAACGACGTGAGAATGAATCCTTCGCTAGTTCACCTTCAGAAATTGCTAATAATTATCTCTGTTTTTGGAAAAGAATTCATCATTTCTTTCAGGTAGAAACTCATTCACATTTTCGGCTGGAAATGAGGATTATTCAAAAGCTTCCTTGATGATCTTGGTGTCAACTAAAGTCATCTGGAAAATGAGATGTCTACTGATTGAACCACTCCCAGATCTCTACATTGTTATCAGCCCCTGAATAACATTTATCAGAAGCACGTGAACTTCATATTGTTTTAAGAGAATAATGCGTTCCTTTGAAATGAATTAAGCCTCAGTATATGTCCATTAATGTACTTTCCCATTGTTTTACAGTGGGATCTAGGGGACTCTGAGCTCCTGACCTCTGAAGGCAGGATCTATTTTGTTTAATTCCATATTTTATTTAATTCCATCTCTATTAATATCTATTTAATTCCTTTTCTATTTTGTTTAATTCCATATCCCGGGTATCTAGTCCATTGTGTTTCAATATTAGGGTTCAGTAAACAAAAAGGTGAATGGAGAGATCAGTGTATGTACTCGTGTAAACCATAGCGGAGATCGCAGGTCTAGTGTTCAAGTATGTAATAAAAATAAGCTAACTCTAAAAACAGTAATGCTGGGCTATTAAGAGACAACTTTCAATGCCTACCAGCTTCATCCATTCAACAACAACACAGTTCCTGCTTTTAGTCTGCTCCAAAAATATTAATGGAGCTAGGCTTTACGGATATCACACCAAACAGGACAAGTCCTTATCTTCCTGGAGTTTCTGATATATACTCACCTGACAGGCTAAAATGGGATTGGTTAGAATAGAAATTCTAACCAATTCAAAGAGAATATTGAATTCTGGGGCTCAGGGAGCTGGGCCCTGAGGGATGAGTAGGAGTCTCACAGGAGTTAAGGTGAGGGAGAGCTGGCTGTATGTGAGGAGGAGCAGAGGAGGCATCGAAGGCAGCACGAGGGCAAATGCCAAAGAACACGGAGTGCTGAGAGAATGAATGGTGAGTGTTCTCAGGAGGCTGAAGCATAGGTTTTCTGAGGGCTGAAGCAAAAGACTGATCTGTGGCCAGATTATGATAAGTCTAACATGCTATTCTCCTTCTGGGAAAGTGAGGTATCCAGAGCCAGGACCTGGTGTGGAGTGGGACTATCCCCAGATGGGGGTTGTGGAGGGAGAGGGTCCATGAGGTGCTTCCAGGATGTGAAGGCACATCCAGGCCCAGAGCTCCAGGGTGAAGAGGCCCCCCATGCCAAGGGGCAGCCAATGAGGCAGGCCCAGAGCAGCCTCTGGGGATCCAGTGAAAGACAGGACTGGGGAAGGCAACTGGTCTCCTTCTTAGAGGGTGCTGGGCCCCTGCTTCCATGTAGGCAGGACTGGGTCTGGACAGCACTGAGGATGGTAAAGCCTTCTTCAGTGGAGGTTGAGACTGTTCAGATCCATGCTTTACAGATACCCTCCACCAGAGGCACAGAGTAGAAGGGGCAGAGCAGGGGAGCCCAGAGCTCAGGGTGGTGGAGAAGAGGTGCCGTGCTGGAGTATGCGGCTCTAGTGAGGAGAAGGGCAAGGAGCGCTCTCCTTCTTTCCCTTCAACTTTACTGAAGGCATGTAATTTGTTGTGCATTGGGCTAGACCCTGAGAATCCAGAGATGTCTAAGATCTGGGCCTTCCAGGAGTCTCTCCAAGTCTACCCAGAGGTGCACAGGTAACATAGAATGATTACACACGGGGAGATGTCATGAGGCCTGTCAGGTGGGCTTGGTACATGGCTCACCCCAATCCTTTAGTGAAGGAATGAACCACTTGAAATCGATGACTTCAGTGGTGCTGGGGGAGAGGGAGAGGTGGTGGAACATCATCTTACCTACCTCCTGGACTGTGTGGATGACGTCCCAGAAGGCAGCACTGGAAGAGAGACTTTGCCCAGAAGGAACATTATAATAATACCATTATTATAAAGGAGCAAATTCCAGGCTGGCAGGAAAGATGCCTTGAGGCTTGAGGGTCTTTGGTGCTTATTCTTTAACATACAAGTGAGCTGTGTCTTTTCTGTATGGAGGTGAATATTAGCCATGTAGTTAGTGCAAGAAAAATACTTTTCTTTTCCTTCAGCCTTCATCTTCCCAGGATACCTTGCTCTGGATAAAGTGTCCCTATAAGCATCCCTTTCCCTATTGAAGCCTTGGAGCACTGTGGGGGATAGTGGATATGCTTGGGACTAGGGGTTAGAAGGCACCAGGTTCAGGATCTAGCTGGTTACTCATGATCTGTGTGACATAGGACAGGATTGAACCCTTCCAAGTTCAGTTTCTTTCCATGTGAAGTAGGAACACTATATGCTCTGCTTCCCTCGCAGGACTCTTATAAGTAACACACGGAATATGAAAAAGCTTTTTAAAAGTATAAAATAGAGTAGCTATCATTACTTGGGAAGCTCTTTTGAACTTTCCTTAGTTCTACTGAATCTTTCTCAGATAATATGCAAAACGGGCACCTTGAACCTTTCCTTACTCTGAGCTGACACCCTAGGAGTGGAGAGCTGATGTTGGGGTAATGTCTGAAGATGGAATAAGTATCTGAGCACTAATTTGCCCCTCCTCCTCCAAAAAAGCAGAAAATTTGTTATTTAAAACTTTATTAAAAAGTAACCAAACTTAATCTGCTTCATTCAATGCCATATTTTTAGGGTAGAAATAAAACTTGATGGTTGGAAATTACCAAAAGGAATATTGCAATCAATATTAATAAAAACTTTCTAATAATTGAGGCAGCAAAAGGGGGAGGAGCCTCCTGTGGGGCACTGAGTGGTTCCTGGCATATTGTAGAGAAATTTTAATAAATTATTGATCCACTTATCTTAATGGCATTTCATAGACTTTCAAAGTATATAAAAAAAAGTATCCAGGTTATGTTGGCCTCACCAAAATGATTTAAAAAATCATCCTTTTTTTTTTTAAATTCTAGAAGAGAATGCATAATATTAGTGTTAGAATGTAATATTGGTACCAGGGATTGAATCTAAGGGTGCTTTACAACTGAGCCACATCACCAACACTTTTTGCTTTTTATTTTGAGACAGAGCCTTGCTAAGTTACTTAGAGTCTCACAAAGATGCCCAGTCTGGCTTCCAACTTGTGATCCTCTTGCCTCAGTCTCCTGTGTTGCTGGGATTAAGGTGTGTGCTACCATATGGGTGTTTGGAGGCCAGTGGCAAGTGGAAGGAGGGAATCCTTTCAAGCTGGCCTTATGATATGTCCCTGAGATTCTTGAGCACCTTCTTACTATGGATCCACAACCTGTTCTGACTCACCTTGGACTTCCATGATCCCCACCTTGGAATTCTCTTTTCCATGGGATCTGGTTCCTCTTAACAGAGAATGGTATTTTAGGAACCAAAATGGGCATTAGGTAAAATCATTGGTACGAATGCATCATAGATTTTCTTGGTGGGAAGAACTAGGAAATACAACCATGTACACAACCACACACTCCCTTCAGCCTGTATCTATTTATGTGGGAAGTCATGAGTTTCACATTGGTATGTCCAATTCCAATCCAACACATGCATATTTGGAACTCCTTTCCCTGAAAGCAAAACATCTGGGTCCCATTACCCTCAACAAATTTGCTTTTCAATCTCCCTCTATGGAACTTCTACTAACCCATAGGTGTTATTAGACTAGGAAAAAAAATCCCCTTGTGAGCCAGTGCAACCTGGGCCAGCCGGGGTACATGGTTGTGCAAAGAGAGGCTAGATTTCAGCACCCACACGTGTCTCAGCTGAGAGCCTTTGTACAATGAGTGACATTCTTAACCTGCAATAGCCTTATAAATTTTAAAGTCTGTGCTCTTGACAGCTATCTCATAATTCTTCTTTTAGCGTAATTAAAATTAATGTGTGACACTGATAGAAACAGCACGACGATAAAGCAATTTGGGTCCAATAAACCATTTCATTTTATTTTTGCTTAACTAAAATCTTGTGTGTGGTTTCTCTACAGTTAATTATATTTTTAGGAATAGGAAAATTTGGATGTGTTACCCTGCTCTGCTAAGCCCTAGTGTCACTGCAGCTGGCACATGGCATGCCTTTGGGTTCAGAAAGTTTAGAAAAGATAAAGTTAGGGGAAACCTCTGAAGGAGAAAGGGCCGTGGCTGGGGAGATATATGACATGAAAAGAAGGGAAAGAGAGAGCTCTAAGTAGATCAGTCCAATAATATATAGAAGGAAGTGGAGGGGACCCTACTAGCCTATAAAGAAATTTAAGGGGATTGTGCAATGTATTAATTCCCTCATTTCCTGATTTTCTGGAAAGCACTCAAATAGGAAGAAATTTTAATGCTTCAGCTTGAATGTCATTGCCTTCATGAAATCTTCTGTATCCCCATAGCTCCGGCCCCAAGTCAGAAATTTGGGTGTCAGGTGACACAGACCTGAGCTATTGTGGAAAGGAAGAAAAGACTCATCCAGATTGTTTTGAGGGCACAAGGCCCTGTGGCTAGAGTAATAATAGCTAATATCTATGTTTAGATGAGATAACAGACTGAGAAAAATTAACTTACCTAGAGTCAGTGATCCTAGTTTTCCAGGGGTCATGTGATCATTCCAGAGCAGGAAGCAAACCCGGGACCCTAATCAGCAAAGCATACAGCACTTGAGGGTGAAGGGGACCTCACCCAATAGTCATGTTTTCTCCAGGATTGGTGCTTGTCCAGGAGGAAGTGACTTTGAGAGGCTAGCCAGGCATCAGGACCAGTGTGTTTAGAGCTCCAGAGGTTGGGGACAGATTGTATTTGCAATGAGACTGAGACATGTGAACACCTTTGGAAAGGAGAATCTCTAAATATTTGT